ATATTAATGTTCATGCTTGGGATGGAACTTGGTTTCCTAATAATTTCGGTTTTCAGGTTAGCCCCAGGATTTTTTTTCCTTCAATAGGCATCAATATCAGACACGTGGTAAAACACTGACAAACAGACTGAAACGAAACAGTAATCTAATGTACGAATTACTGCATCATTGTAAATTGGAACCGGGGAAAAACATGCCACCTTAAGGAAATTCGTTCAACTCACCTTGATTGCGCTCAATCGAATCACGCCGGTGGTCACCTCATCTGTCCTAGCTGTTTCACTCGATGCACCCGGGCCAGCAGGTGCATTTGCTGTTGCTGTCGCGGTCGCAGCCGCCGCGTTGACTGGGGGTACCTCAAAGCGAGCCGCGCCGAATGTTCCACTGGTCTGAACTAATTTTCGACATGCCAATGCAGCCAATGGACCGTAGATCACAACCGGCCGAGGGAGTGGGTACGCACTGATCTGAATCACACGTTCATAAGGCGGAAGCTGCAAACAAGAGCGATGTTGCTGGCTTGGTTACTTGGACGAAAACGTCGCTATCGTATTTTTACTACTTGTGAGTAGTAGATACACAAACTAAAATTACTTGGAGAAAAACAGAATGACAGAGCAGAAAAAAACGATACCATTTGAATTTCCCAGAAAAATAACCGCATATTATTATTATTATTATTATTATTATTATCGTAAAATGTTAGCGTATTACGTACCGATATGAGGTTGGATCTACCGGGAAACCGTCGATCCTCTTCCAAAAGAATTTCTTCCGCACGTTGCCAATTCGGTATTACTCCCAAGGAACTGTGAGTTGGATAAACTTTGAATGCCTGCAGTGTAAAACGTAGGACGTAAGTTGCTAGTTCAATTGCTTTACACACAATAGAAAGGGGATCAGAATGTTACGAAGAAGATGCTCTATTAAATATTTCACGCTTCTTACACACCCAAAGTGAGACTGTTTACAATCTTCCTTAACCGAATAGTTGAACAGAAACGCGATGGTTGAAATCAAAAACATACCTTCGCAAAATGACGTGGTCCTAACAGCATTTCCATTTAAACAGTTTCTCAGAAACGGAACACAAGAGACCCCTGGTTTGAACTTTGTCCCATAGGATGAGAAAAATATAAAAAGAGAACACAATACTAAACGAACAAGAAAGTGTACATTGTGCATTACTGGAAAATGGTTATCCGAAATCATTAGTTCGCTTTCATGATCGAACAAGAAATCAGACTCAAGCACCTATCTATCGCGTTTCTAAAAAGGACATCCACATCTATCTGCCATACTAACGGGAGTCAACAATGCAGCTTATCACACAGCGTATAAAAACGCTACACAAAGAACCTACTTTGATGTCACAATAAGTCTCCATTCGATCACACGGCGTCTCCCCTCTCCCTCCATTCAGAGATCGCTACTCAATCGAATCTGCTTTCCATTGTATTTACACCTTTTGCAGCTGCAAAGAATCGATAGACTCCTGCAGTCCAGAATGACCGAACACATCCCAAGGTATGTGCATGAATCAATGACGCAGCTTACATCACTGATTCTGATTACATCACATAGACCGACCTCGATCACTCTACTTGGTTGAAAGCGGTCATAAGATAGACCTTTTGTACGCATTCTCGGTTATCGCAACAAACAGTGACTACGGATACTCAGGGCATTATCGATCGCTCACAAGAAATTCACTTGTGTCCAAAAGGGTATGACGTTCACTTTGCCCTATCCTTGCTATAACCAATCATGCGCATCACACACACGATAAAACCTAACTAGATCTCTTAATTCACTTCATTTGTCTATCTTGTTTAATTTTATATGTAGGCGACCAATAAGAACAATGGCTTGACTTTAACAGTTGGAGCAATCAAGTAAACTCACTATATGACCAGTGGAATTCAGCTATGCTTAACTGGTTGTTTACTTTGAAAATAACTTCTATCTCGACAGGGGTTTCGAACAGCTAAATCATACCATTTGAGGTTAAGATGGATAGGTGTATGCCAAGCTTGAAAGTGTCGTATGTGTATTTCACATGCTCAACATTGGAATAGGTGAGAGAAGGGTCTCTTATATTCACAGGGTAATCTTCCCTCCACTTATCAGCCAAACTGAATCGATACATATATGTAGATGAAAGCCACCAGTGGTTCGTTGATCATACAAAATAATCTCAGTAACCATTAGGACATGATTGTTGATCTCTGGTTACCATAGTGATGTGCATGTAACTATCATTCCCAGTGCGGTTTTAAGCTTGAAAGCATTATCTCGAATGGTCTAAGGGAACGTAAACACTGCGTGTCCCTCCTCGAAAAACTCAGCGAGAAAGGTCCGGTGTTCATGTGCAAAGGACACTGTGATTTAAGCCTTGGTTCCAAGCCCGACAGAAAACCAGGCCAAGCGGTACACTTGCCAGATGGAGATAGTCGTTTGCTAATGACGGATAGTTTTCCGCTTAGGACTCAGGACTCAGCCGGTGTCAAGTATTATTCCAACTTCAACAGGGCTGAAGTCAACTGTTTATTTGCGTTCTGCAGTGCGATTGTTCCATCGTCTCGCATCGTCTTGTCCCTCTCGCCCGTGACCTTAAACAAGTAAATTCCCTCTGACCCTTTCTCTGATCTGATTGGATCATATTCCGCGATCTGTGGCACTGTGGAATCCCTCGCCCCAACACCAAACTGTCTGAGTATCGACTTGTACGTTTTGTCATGCTCTTTCTGTCACGTCCAGTCTATCCGTGTGCTGATGGCACTCCTGCTGCACAGTCGACATTCACTGGGCTTGTCTGCGACTCACGGCTGTAAACAAGGTGTGCAATCTAAACTATAGTGCAAAATATCAGTCGGCTTTGTGGGACCAAAATCAAACTTCCAGCTGACCCGGCGGATTTGGATAGTGTGGTATGATGCATCTTTTATTCACTCATCCAACCCGATTAGCCAGGCAATTTGCTCCAAACGTCCAATTAGAGACTGTTTTGAAGGACGAAAATTTCACGCTTTTATGTATCACGGAAACCACATCCATAGTGTTAGTCCAAACAGTCTTCTGTTGTCTGCCCTTCTTCGATCGAATTCTCTTACCAACAAATTTACAGCATTCTTAAACACACGTAAATACTTGTTCCATCCAGACCTGCTGAAGACCTTTAACAATGATTGGCATTAAAAATTCCTCCCTCTTCCAACCGTTCTGACGAAACACTTTCATCCTATATCTTTAACTTACACTAGCTGAAAACACATTCAGTCCACCGTTGATCCCTCTTCCGTTCACCCTTCCGACCAAACAGGTGCACCCGAGCTACAATTTCTTCAATTATGCGTAAAAGGACAAACTCCGTGAATGATTCTGTATGTTGTGAACCATTCATCTACGTTTGCTTCTACTCTTCATTCCCTCCTTCGTAAAATGAAGAAGACCATGTGTTATCCCAAGTAGTAGTCTGGCTCGATTATTGCTTCTCTGAGAGAGCTCAGTGCGACAGGCTAGGTTCAAGGAAATCCAAACCGCTGGGAAACAACTTCGAGGTACTAAAGAATGCAGTCTTTTCCCTTAATTATATGTATAGTCAATTCGGCTACTAACACCCAGACTTCTCCGTTCTGTTAAGCTGACGATGTGGTTGTATCTCAGGATATTTCCAATTCTTCGTATCTTCTACAATTTTCTGATAACTTCGCTATAGTTAAACAGTTTTCCGCTGCTTCCGGTCCCGCGCTCTTAACTGCCTCAAATCATTTCCAATTTTTCGTTCCGTTACGATGTTTTTCAGTCGATATTGTTTCTGTCTCAACTGGTATCCGTCGATAAGCTGTGTCAAATATTTGCTGGTTTAATCGATCATTATATAGTAACCAAATTTCGATCCTCGATTGTTCGAGGTCAGCCAGGATCAGACCAATGACCAAAGAAAGTATTGCCACAAAGTACCGTCCAATTGCCTGCTCATCGGGTCAACTGTCTAAATTACTGAAAATCCACCTATTTTGAGTGCATAAAGCGTTTCTTGATTTGACGGAATATGACTATGTAAAAATGAAACGAATAAAGCGACAGTGTACGATCCAGTCCACAACGTACACTTCAGTTGAATTCAATTCAATTCAAGAAACGCTTTATGCATCCACAGGGCAAATTTTCAGCAATTTAAGAACTTGTACATTAACATAAATTGCAATCAAGGAAAAGTAATATAAAAACATTCTGTGCTGCAGTCGAACATGAGGAAGGAATGAATGCAACATTGGTTCCTTGAGTGGGTGATAATTGTCTTATGGTTAACCAGTTGCCGAGAAAGATAATGAATCGGAAAGGATTTAGTGAGTTCGAGGATTCCACAGGACTTTCATAATTTCTCGGTGCAGACAGTGTCATTGATCACGTGTTATCTGTCCACGAAGTGATCACAAACGTCAAAATGCTTGGAAATAAGGAAACCAACCGAAACCATTGTATCAACTCGACTGTTACGGTGCTAAAGTTTTAGGGATCCAGAAAACAAAGTGAAACCTTTATGGGGAGCAGTCTAACCGGTATGGAAGGATACAGTCAATCACGAATTTGAGAATAAAACTGTGTGAAATTGATTAGTTGATCAAATATTTCCGAAAATAATCTATTACCTCCCACTTTATTATCATTAGATACGACAAGTGAGGTATTCCTAAATGATTGCTTAAAGAAACCTAAGTTTGCGGTTTCGGACTAAGATTGACAGGCTTTTCCGCAGGTGTGTTGGAATCCAGGAAATCCAGCTACTGACTTAAAACAAACAGTCTCATATATTTTGGTGAATGAACGCGTATACAAGCGTGCAAGTATTACTAAATATAAAAATAGGTCAACTCCGAGGTAAATGAAAAGATTGTATCCAAAACATCTGCGCATATAAGTTGGGGTGATGTAATGGAATAAGCTGAGCTACCCTCATGGCCAAAAATGTTTCACATTGCGGTTACGTAGTAGTTAGTTAATCATTTGAATTAGGATCAACTGGATGGATGTCTTGTTGTGATCAGCTGTTTTGCCACAGATGGCCGTGGATTTCTTATGATCACTTGATCATCAACTAGCGGTTGCGTCATCGATTTCACCGACCACTTTTGATAGACGGGATTCAATGCCTCAAATGAGTTTATTTGCTGATTAACGAAGGGAAGTATCATTTATCACGAAAATGAGGTTCGGTCTATCTGCAGCACAACAAGGGCTTTTGGAGATAATTGCAATCATCAGACGGAAGAAATCTTAAACGAAGTAAACAAGTTGGGACCAGTAAAGTCAAAGTTTGTCAACCGCTCAGCTGTTGTTTCACTGTCAATTTCTGTTTCGATACGTTTGTGCACGTACAAACGTATCATTCATTGTGTAAAAATGCACGAAAAACATCCGTTACTCTTATTGTCCATCCATGGTTGCCTTCGTTGCTTCAGGAGAAATGAAAATCATGGTTGGCCTATTGGGAACCCGGTTAGATGATTCTTGAAAGCTTGTCCGTTTCAAACAAACGCATATAGTCCCCTCACCTGGTTGGTCAGCTTAGTCACTCTAAAGCACAGGTTGATTCGGGATCGTTTGAGATCGGACTCATTCAGCAAGTGAAAATTCAGCTGTGGAAAATATTCCGGCCACATGGGAGTTTAACGCTCATAATAGACCCGAACGGGGGGGGGCGAGGGAGAATGGATGCTGGAATCATTGTTGTTCAATCGGAACAGACTTGAACTCGGTTCATGCATTCATCGTCGTCATCATCATTGTCATCATCGTACAGCGAGATACAGTGAAGCAAACTTCACTGATCGCTGCTAAGCTCACAATGTACACAAATCAAGTGATAAAGCACAGGGGGGGGGAGAGGGATTGAGCCTACTTAGAGGGAAGCAAAGAAAAAGAACCTCTATGATCAACATACAGAGTATACCATCTAATTGTGCATACATACCTTTTCAAGCATTCTGACTTGTTAATAAATGACAAGAAGAACGCCACTGCTGTCGATTAGTTGNCATATCCTTTATAGTCTCCAGCC